TATATATATATATATATATATATTTGTTTATTTGCATATTTATACCAGTTGAAACAAACCCTCCACAAGTCAGCATGCTTAATATAGATTCTTTGCAATCCTTACATTTGTATTTTTATTAGCTGAGCTGCTGTGGTACAAGCTTTTTGTTTGCTTTCCTTCCTGAATACGCAGTAGCTCGCTTTTTCGGCTGGTTGCCGTTGCTCTCCGTTCTTTGTTGTTCGTTGTTGTTTGTTTTCTCCATTTGTTGTTTTGTTGTTATACACCATAAAAGGTCGTGTCACTGCTGGCGGGTCACAAATAGTGATGCCCCTCAGCTGCTGTGTTGCAAGTTGCAGAAACCCCGATGCCAAGTCTTGCCCTTTTCTGTTCCTTTTTTACTTTGCCTTTTTGTATTTTGGTTGTTGATGTTTTCGAGTGTTTGTCCCATGCCACTGCTCGATCAGTCGATTTTCTTGAGACCTGTTGCTGCATCATTCACAGCAGCAGTCCCCGCAGCAGCGGCTGGCGCACTGGCTGCATCTGCCTCTATGGGCAGAGCGGCACTTGGGGCTGCTAATGTGCGGCCTTGGATTTTTCTTGCAGTAGATTTAAATTGGCTGTAAGAAACGACGGGGGGGTTGGGGGGGAGGGGCCCGATAATGCACAGCACGGCAGGCAGCAACACCATTCCGAAACCAAATGACATAACCAAAACCTGCAAGCCAGCAGCAGCATCAGCATAGAGGGGAAAACAGAGCATATATATTTGGGAAGGAGGCTGAGGGGGGTACGAGGTATGCAGAAACGCTGCTGAAGAAAGCGGCAGTGCAACGGATGGGCAGCATTCCCTCAGTTGAAAACAAAAGAACGAGAGACAAAATGTGGAGAGGCGGGCCTGCTTGCTCACCAGCACCATCATCCTGAAGAAGGCAATCAATACAAATTTGGTGGTGCCAACGAGGTAGAAGACGGCTAAAAGAGTACTCAACATCCCGTTCGCTACAGGACAGCCCATCATCAGCATCCCTTCAGTCATACGCGCCTCCCGAGTAGCTCCGCAACCGTGTGTGAATGCATGCAGCAGAAAGAGCGTGCTATCCACGGAATACCCTATTTAAAAACAACGGAAAAACAAAGCAAAACACACGTAAACCCAAAACTGAACATAAACAAAAGCGCAATGCAGTAGACTGCAGAAGTGTACACGGGACTCTACACTGGTTCACACCACTGAAAACAGCACAGAGACACCAGATGGTGAATCGACAGGCACGTTGCTCTCCTGCCACTGAGAGACGAAGAAAAGATAAGGAGGATGAGAGACAAGTAGAGCAGCAATAAGGACAAGACTAAGAAAACGACCAGCAACAAGGGCCAGAACGAAAGCACGGCCGATAGAAGCAAGGAAAAGAAAAAGCATGGCGAGAAAGGCGAAAAGCAGAACAACAACATAGGCTGTGAGGATAAGTAATGAGGACACAGCTAAAAGAACCAAATCAACAAAACCGATACAACGAGAACAAGAGGAAAACAAGGACCGATGGGGGAGAAAGCAAAGCATCCTGGTGCCCACACATACCGATTGCGAGCAGGAGATTGACCATAGTAATTAAGTTGAGGCGGAGGCCCCAAAGGGTCATAAACCCAAAAAGACAGAGGTCAACCAGCAGCACTGTCAGCGCCACGATTAGCACAGACAGAAGATCAGGTATCAGCAGCACCGTCATCTGCAGCAGCAAACACGAAACAGCATGGAAACAGCCCCCCAAAACCAACATATAATACAAAGCAACCTGAATAAGCAAAACAACCCATGGCACAAGGATAAATGCAACACCATCGCCAACGGAAAAAAAAACGGTTGAGAGCCACAACAGAGAGTGGTGGTGAGCTTTCTCTTATGCTTGCCAGTGCGTCTCTAAAGGACTTTTGCATGTATGCATTCATATGCGTATATGTACACATTTACGTATTGATGTAAACGCACAAAAATGATGGCTAGGAGAGCAGAAAGAAGGCTGTTGACGGTGCTTTTGACGGTGAAGGGGTCGCTCTCCCACAGTAACGCGAGAGGGGTGAAGGCGTAGCTTTCGAAGAGTTCGGATGAGTCTGCAATGAGTTTTTGAGTGTGCTTAAACCAATCAAGCAGTAAATATGCGTCTAAGCTGTGCGGCAACCAGTATGTAAACTTCCATGCCGCTAGACGGGGGCCCTCAGAGTTGGCTGTTTGTCTATCCCAGAGAAAAGATGTGCGGAACTGCCGGCCTACAGGATCGGCCTGCAGCCACGAGTACAACCTGCCCAACGACCACCAGAGGAGGTAAAGTAAATCAAACAAGGAGGTGCATATATATATGTACCATCATAGGTGTATAGTCATTCACATACATGACCTTGTGGAAGTACACACAGTGTTGTATATGTCGGTGCATATGTGAATGTCAGCACATATAGAAATGAACCTATGCATGCGCTTTAAGACGAAACTGAAAGTGGAAGCATTAAACATAACAAAACAGGCAACGTGTGTAGAGGAGGCTTTCTCTCGAGCGATAGAGAGCAATTAAGCGAAGAGAACCGACGAGTTTTACGGGGGTGGCTGCATTCCTGCAGTTTCATTTAGTCTTTATGTTTGTGCGTGGGGTGCCACTATAGAATAGACTGCATATGCCTGCGGGAAGCAGAGAGGGTGCTGCCTACGCCTCATAAAACATCTTTTCGTTGCCATCCTCTAAGGAGGCGTTTTTCTCTTCTAAGAAGCGAGCCATGCCGTTGTACAGCGCCAACGCGTGCCCTGACTCTGCCATTTCTTTGTTTATGGCTAAAAGCCTCTCCTTTACTTCTTTTCTTGACCAGTTCTCCCTCCGCGGAAAAAACACCGTCACCTCCTCCCCTAAAGAACTAAAATACTTGGCGCGATCCGCAAAAAAAGGCTGCGCGACACAAGCACAACGCGGCTAGCAAAGCCTCCAAAATAAACTTCAAAATAACCACCAATTGGGGATTTACACCTCGACTGGCTCTCACTCAAGGAAGATGTTGGACTTTTGTAAGGGAAGATCAAACGGGAAAGCAGATGACACAGATGCCGATTGAACTGCTATATAAATAACAGTTTAATCAAGTTCATAAGAAAACTGTCGTTCCACAGAGAAGTGGCAAAACGTTCAACGCAAGAGAGACAGCAGCAGGCGCAACGACAAGAACTACAGCAACAAGAGCATCAATAAGAGCAACAACAGCACCACGAAAGACTAAATACCACAGAAGTAGCAACCAAAAATGAAGAACAGCTGCAGAATGCATAGCTGTAGTTCAAGAACAGCAACAGCAAGCCACCAACATTAGCAGTAAACTCCCAACAGCAACGACAATATAGCTGCAAAGCATTAACAAGCAACAATTAGGCGACGCCGAAGCAAAAATGCCACAAGTGATGCCTGAAAGAAGACTAACAATCAAGTGGGAGTCTGTGGGTGTTATTTCATCTGCTGTGATTCCCGTCCGCATGCGGGTAACTCCGTAGATGGCAATGCCGACGAGAGCAGCAAATCCGAAGAAAACCAAACGACGAACCCACTTGTTCCCCATCAATCTGCCGCAGAATAGGCAGCAGCAGCAGAAACCACCGTCAGCAGCACCAGCCACAGAAGAAACAGCAGCAGCAGCAGCAACAGCAGCAGAAGAACGAGAACAACGACACCATGTTGGTTAGACTATCGATTCTTTCAAAGGCTATCTAGCTGTACTTGCACCTCGAGCACATGCCAGGCCCCAACAGGCCTGTGGCGTATAGCGACAGCAGAAGACAACAGAGGAAAACGCTGTTTTACGGTTTAGGGTTTAGGGTTTAGGGTTTCGCGATTTCGTTGTGAGCGGGAGAGTTGCTTCCTCTTGCGAGGGTGGGGGTGGGACCTGCAGTAGTATTTGCCGAGAATTCTCCTGTATATTTTGCCGACATTTCCCTTGGGTTCGTTGATGTATTTGTCTAAAACAACAAGAAAATCCTTCTCTGCCATCAACATGCTCCCATCTGCCGGCCTCCCCATGCGAACGCGGACGACGCGAGGCGCCGCTTCTCCTGCTTGATCGCAGATAAAATCTTCCTCTTCGTCATCTTCGGATCCTGCCGCTGCAGCTTCAGATTCTGCTGCTGCTGCTTCTCTCTCTCCCGCTTGCTCCTGCCTGCGCAGCAGACGTATGCAATGCCGTTACGGTACACCGCGAAGGCTACTCAGCGAGGGGACAGTGAAGAAGCTTCTCCTCGATGTAGCAAACCACGGACACGTTTATGGTCGCAACTGACGTGAAAATGCATGTTCTTCTTGGAAGGCGAGTAATGCCATTCTAACAGCAGTACGTGCAGCATTGCTGTTGTCCCGTCAGTGTTGTCACTACTTCATAAGTATCGACCCAGAACCGGTAAGAACAGCTCGAAAGAAGAGTAGAGTAGGCTACGAGTTTCATAGTTGCGGTGTGCTACACTTCAGCAGTCTGTTGTGCTGCTGCATGACGCTTTGTGGCCTGTGTTGTATTGTTGTGTTGTGTTGTACGTTGTGTTGTATGTTGTGATGTGTTCTGCCTGAATAATAATAAGAAGAACATGTGTGTTTAGAGACCTGAGAAGAGCCTCCTGTTGCGCTTGGCCTTCTTCTGCGGCAACACGGTATCGATTGTCTCCCTGTCTTCTGTGTGCTGGGCTGTTGCCGGTGCCACCGTGTTGCTGCTGCTGTTGCTGCTGCAGTTCCTCCTGTGGCGCTCCTGCTTCGATGGAGGGGCCTCGGATTGGCGGCTCCAGTTCTGCTTGCTGCTGCTGCCGGTCATCTGTTTGTTCCACTTTGGTCGATCCTTGTTTACGGAGGAGCCCGAAGAAATTCCCGATGTTTTTGGGTGTTCTGCTTCTTTCACCCGGATCCTCCCTGTGGAAATAGTCTGCAACAATCTCGCGGTGTCTGTCCCACAGATGCTCCATTCGGAATGTCATTACCGATGCCAATTCATAAGTGGACAGTTTCTTAAGAGCAACCAACAACTCTACTTCTTGAAGATGACTCAGAGGCCCCCCGCACCCCTGCATGTCTACCGAGTGGCCTTCAGGCCCCACAGCTGAAGACGAAGATACTTCTTGAGGCGGTTTTGAACTTCCCGCGTCAATCAGCTGCTGCTGCTGCTGCCGCTGCCGCTGCTGCAGCTGCTGCTGCTCCGCTGCTGTCGCTTGGTTTAGCGGCTGCGCTGCAGCTGCTGAGGTGGGGCTGTATGGGGCTAGCCTCTGTCGGGAGTTTGTGAGCATAGCTGTTCCGTTGTTGCAGCTGAGGGGACTGCCTAGGGAGTCTGAGCCTCTGTTGCTCTCAAGACTCTGAGGCGATTTGGCGGAGGGGTTGGAATGCGGCGAGTTGAGCGGGTTTAGGGCACCTTGTCGGTGGTATTCTTTGTTAGCAGCAGCTGCCGCTTCCCTCGCCTTGCGCGTAAAGTAGGCCTCCCGCTTGGCGTCAAGGGAAAGACAGCCGAGAAAAATTGTCTGCGCCAGCACATAAGACCAGGCGAGACAGAAAGCAGTGACTATGGAGAACTTGCTGATGCTAAAGAAGGGGCAGACGGCGCCGATGATGAGGGCAGCCACGCTGGTCATCGTCGTGATAGTAATGGAAACGCCTGCATCTCTTGCAGTGCTGATAATCCGCTGTCTGGGTGTATCGTGCAAGAAAGTGAGGCAATATGAATTCAAGAGCACGAATGCGTTGTCTACACCAATACCCAGAACCAGGAAAGGTGTCGCATCTGAAGGGGGAGTATGTTCAACTCCACAGAAGTAAATAAAGCCAGCACCTCCTGCATATCCAAGCAAAGTGGACCCGACGGAAACAATGGCAGGCAACGTCTTTGTCCTGTAGCTCGTCGTGGTGTTTACAACGACAGTGTACACCAACACAGTCAGCGTTGCAAGAACCAGCGCGACTGTTTCTGCAGGCCCCATAGAAGAGGATCGCATCAGCTCATCTGCTATAGACCGTTCAAGTTTGTATGTCAGGGAGAATCCTTCTGCACTAAAAGCCTTCGCGACAGTTTCGATTTTCCTCTCCAGGGCAGCAGAATAAGGAGCAACCGAGACGTCTCCTTGCAAGTCAAATCGCAGTAGACAAGCAGTAGCACCGGTGATGCGGTGGATCTTGTGCCCCCCGCTGTCTATTGAAGAAACTCGCATATCTCCTAGAAGTGATTCAAGATGAAATGCCTTTCTGGAGTGTATGTTTACTGCAAGAGGCCACTCGCGCGTCGTCAGCGGCCGACCCCACTGCCGTTCTGAAGAATACAACTCCAGTACCGATAAAATGCTGCAGTCGTCCCATGCATCTCTTACACACAAATCCTCGTAAGTAAGCACCTCAGGTAAAGTGTCAGGAAGCTGCGAGTTTGCATCCAACTCGTTGCCGTACTCGTCTGTTACCACCTCTTGCCGCGTCACCGTGAGCTGCTTTACCGCTTCCACCAAGTTGCTCACTTGCTGCATGCCTTCCTTGGTGAGAATGTTGTCGTCGCGAGTCACAAAGAAGTAATTAAAGCGCTGAGGACTAAATGTCGACTCCAGCAGTTGCCTTACGTTGTGGCTGGGGGCCCCTGGGTAGCTATACAACCGATACATGTCAAATTCGTTTTTCCTAAAGAAAATCCCCAAGGCCATAATTGCACTTAGCAAAGCAAATCCAATAATAAACTTCCATGCATGATCGTAAACGATCATCCCATGGCGAGCAAAGGCGGTGTCAAGCATCTCCGACCCCTTCTTCTTGAAGCGAGAAAAACGCTTGCTTTTCTTCGGCGCCGAAGCAGCAGGAGCACCTGCCGCTGCCCCCGCAGAAGCATCAGCAGGAGACGAACATAGGACGCCGCTAGACCCTATTCTCGGCGAGGCATCAACTATAGCACTGAGTTGCTGCTGCTGCACCCGCCGGCCCACGCTCATAGGAGAGTACTCCTCTAGACCAACATCACCACCAGCACCAGCACCAGCAACAGCATTTGGTGGTTGAGGCTGAGGAGCGGTGCGGGAAGAAGGTTGCTGCAAATGAGCAGCTGGTAATAAGACGTCTTCGGAGTTCAACATGGTGATGACGAAGAAGATGGCCTTCCTTCTTCCCTGCCTTTTGAGGGGGGAAGGATGCGAAGGCGAACTTCTTCTGCTGCTCCCTCCGCCCTCGCCAATCTATTGATAAGCCCTAATCTCCAAACCCTAAAACCCTAAGACCCTAAACTCTAAACAGTGGCGGGAAGCAACACTACCTGCTGCTGCCCTTCTTGCAGGCAGCCCGACGGACACACAGACATATCACTCAAAGTGAACTGCCTGGCGAGGTTTCTGAGCTACAAATAACTGAAAGCCTTCAATATTTATATTAAAAGCATCCAATATCCTTCTTAATGCTCTGAAATTAGGCAGAAAAAGAGGAAAGAAGGCGGACGTTGTTGCAATACCTGACATCACCTGGTGAGAGGGTGTTGGGAAACAGGCGACTGCCGAGAAAGCCAGGGTTTTCTTCGCGTTTCAACCCGAAGAATAATATTACATACCTTCTAACTTGATGTTAAATCTAATAATTACCCAAAAAGAAGATGTATCAACGCCAGAAACAACACCCTAAACAGCCCATGGGATCCAGTGACCACCGGTGCTGCTGTTGTCGGCAGCAGCAACAGCAACAGCAACAGCAACAGCTGTGACGCTGTGATAGGCACAGCAGCCTGCATGCTTAGCAGCAGCGCAGGTACCAAATGGTACAACCTTCAGTATTGAAACAATCATTTGATTGTTCAAGTTTTTCCTTTCGCTTCTTTTGGTGACACCTACCCCACAATTGGCAGGCACCATGTGCGCGGCTCCACAACTACCCCGGCTTCCCGCTGCACACGACAAGCAGAAACACCGGAAGAAAACAAGAAAGGATTTCTTCTCCTGCAAAAACCTGAACACTCGATTCATGTGAGGCATTTGACCCAAAATTGAATGCGGTTTGTAAGCAGCAGAGGCAGCAGAAAACAGGCTGTCACGTTAATGCCAAGCATACAGATCTGCCTATGCCTGTGTTCCCTTCACCTGTTGTAGATGCACAACAGACACACACTTTCTTCCCTTGGCAGTATACGAAGCCTAAAATAAGTATAAGTAGGCAGCGAGGGGCCTTTAAATGAGTTCATACAAGGCTTTAAAGGCAGCGTTCAGTGACCCCCCGTCCTTCCAAGCTAGCAAACGGCAAGACGTGTTGTGCTGCTGTTCTTCTAATGCTTATTCAGCGGCTTTTTTTATACTTATCCAGAGTAAAAACGTATGCAAATTTGAATACCTCATTTGATAAACCCCAATGCTAGTTAATTAACAGGCCGAAGTCCACCTCAGAATTTACGAACTAGCTGAAACATATATATTGTAGCTCGTTATATATAGAAGTATACAAATATACACTTGCGCATATATATACAAATATATATTACGTATTTACGTTGGCATTGAGTATAAACACACACCAATATATTATTATGCATATATATATATATATATATATATATT